GAGAGTTGATAGCCCGGATTCCCCTTCTGCCCTATCCCCAGAGGTGGGAACACAGAGACCTCTCCCCTTCCCGGGCAACTCCCTCTTTCCCAAGCTTCAGCATAAAACGCTAGAGCAGGGAGACAACCCTGCCAACAAGATAAGCACTCCACCAGCGCCCACGGCATGACATTCACCTCTGAAAGCAGGTCAAGCCCTAGAGCCGGGAAGTCAGCAGAGCCGAGATCTGCTCGTGCTGGGAACCCCGTGCCCCAGCTCTGGACCCTCCCCGCCACACCAGGCACTGCCACGAATGGCCCATCTACCAGGAGTGGCCACAACCACAGCCAAGCGCAGGCCACCCCTGGGGTGCCATTTCCGAAGAACCCTGGTGTCCTTGGATGAGGGGCAAGGTGGGGATCTGCCAAGTAAGTTCAGGGCAGGAGGAAAGATGGATTGAGAACTTTTTAGAGGGACACGTCTATGGACCGTGTTCAGGCCGCCCACAAGAGCTAGTGTTTCCTCCAAGGTGTGCAGCTGGATTGGGTTGTGCACCAGAGCCACTCAAATGTCCGTCTGTGGGTGAACCCCTCGCTTAGGGAGCCGGCGATGGGCTGCCCCAGCGTGGGTGACTGTGGGGGAAGGAGGAGCCGTTTCTTTTCCTTCCCCCTGTTCTGGCTTTACAGGCCTGGCTCTGTGACCTTTGGTCTCTCACGAGTGTCCCTAAAAGTGAGGAGCCGGGGTGCTCGCTTCGGCAGCACGTATACTAACATTGGGACGACACAGAGAAGATTAGCATGGCCCCTGTGCAAGGATGACACGCAAATTCGTGAAGCGTTCCATATTTAAAAAAAAAAAAGTGAAGAGCAGGGAAGCCATTCTTTTCTGCGGCTGTCTCGCCCAGAGGTTCTTAAATTTGAGCAATCAGAACCCCACCCCCACCCCCAGATCTTCTTAGAACAGAATGGGGGGCGGGCAACCCCAGAGATTCTGATTCTGTGGGTCTGGGGCCACAGACTTGGTATTTCTAACAAGTTCCCAGGTGATGTCACCATGCGGCGGCCGGGGCCCCACTGAGCAGCACTGCCTGTCCCCTCTGCCCGCTGGCCCCTTTCCTGCAGGAGGGGGTGGGGGGAGCCTCTCCTGTCTGCTTCCTCCTTTCCCCTCGTCCAGGGCCTGGCCCACCCCCGCTGAGCACGCTCTTCCCTTCCCTATAGTCTCCCTCGCTCATTGGCCTGCGGCAGTGTTCTTACCTTTGCTTCCCCGGGAGAGGAGCAGGGAGCAGCCTGTGCCCCTGCCCAGAGGCCCTGCCCAGGTACAGCCAAAGGTAGTGGTGGGGGGTGTGTGTGTGGGGGGGGGGGGCGGGGGGGGCCCCAGCCCTCGGGCGCACCCCGAGGCTAGAGTCTGGATCCGCAGAGCCGGACTTCAAACTTCAGTTTCCAGATCTTTATTTGGAGGCTGGAGCGCCCTCCTGTGGGCAGCGGAAGCGCAACCCCATTCGTACCACTGTGTCCACGGGCTGGTGGACCCGAGGGTTGTGCTCAGGACACCGCGCCCCTTCCCACGCCCACGCACCCCGCCCGGAGCCCCTGGGCGTTCACCCGAGAGGCTGCCGGCGAAATACATGCGCCCCATCGACACAGACACAAACACTGCTTCCCTTACTGCCGCCATCCTCTCCACCGAAATCATGTCCTGCGGGGCCGAGAGCGCACCCCAGGGAGCAACTCCAAGTTTA